TCACTCACCTCTCCCTCGGTCGTAACCATGGAGAAGTTGGGGCTGCGGCTGACAGAGCACACTCTGACGCGCTTACCTCGCAAACAGGGCTGTCAAGTTTCAGTAACAAGTAGGAGTGAGACTTTCGGGGGAAGAAGCGTTTCGATTTTTTTGTTGCCTTTTTTAACGTCGATTTAGAGGAATATCTCAATTTAAATTAACATTAAGACTGTTGTGATGTCTTCACCCCCCTGCCAGCTGCTCTCCCTGCACTGTCGGCCTCCTCATGCTTATATAGTGTTAATAATTGACCAGCACAAGTAGAAATGAAAACAATTGTAACAAGAAAAGGTTTGACAAATAAAATAAATGTATTTATAAAATGTCAATATAAAGAAAACATAGCAGCCTTTTAAGAAATAATAGCAGCCTTTTCCTTTAGTTCATTTTTTTTTTAAGAGTAACAAAATTAGAACCAGAATAATATATATATTATAAATAAATAAAGTGCATGTCTTTGTTTGTGTGTTTTGGTTTACATGACATGTCTCATGTTGTAGGTGTTTGTGGCAGATTTTGATGCCTTGATGACAGAGGGAGGGGGCTCCCATTTGAAACACTGTGGCTCAAGGTTTGCCATCTTCACAGTCATGATGGATGATAGAGTTCCATCAAGAGCCAAACAGTTTTTCGGGTTTTGTTCAGTCCCACCACATTTGAATGTGGAAGTACCAACACCAACCTGGCAATACGAGAGCCTCCCAAATCTGCTCATACCGGTCACCTTTGAAAAATGTAGGAAGCCTAATTACTCTCAAGTATTTTTGTATAGAATTAAGTTGATTACGTCAATGGGTATTTCAAAGGGTGCAGAATAATTCTTACCTTATTCTTCATTGATGCCATGTTCCCCCAAAAGCTCTCAATGTCGAACGTGGCTGGGTCTTCGGGCATGGCAATGTCCATGGACTGGTAGTCCAGAAACTCCTTACTCAGTCACGCTCGTCAGGTCCGTTGTATGGGAGAAGTTCAGGAAACCACTGATCTGGTAAAGTAATGTAGCTGAAACGTGTTGTTTTTCAGATGTGGTCATTAAACTTTACAATATATTAAGAAAATGTTAAGAAAATTTGACAAGAGCCAAGAGTCTTTAACCTGCTCTACTTAAGCATATTGAGATAACTTGTGTTATGATTTGGCACTATAGATACATCTATTTGACTTGATACCCCAACTAACCTGTCGACAAAGTACAAGGCATCATCCACTCCACACTCTACCCTCTGCTGGACATCCAGAAACATGGCATGTTTTATCAGGGGCTCTCTCATGGGGAGTTTCTTCATGGCATACTCCACAGCCCTCACCAGAAACGCCACTGCTGCCTGCTGGAACCTCTGCACTTGCTGCGGTGTAATGTCTCCTGTATCAAGGAGCCTGTTGAGTGTAGCTCGAGTAGTGAAGCCGATCACCAGCTTTTCTCCTACGAGAGACACAATAAATCAACAACGTCACAGAGGTCATTAAGGTGCTGTATGCGATTCTGGAGAAAGATTGATGCAATATGTTCTCATTCCCAACACCAACATGTCCGTATGAGATTGGGAATAAGACCGGTGTTGAGTCACTTTAGCAATCATCAACAACCACAATAGCTAACTTGAAAGCACCCCTTTAAGTATCTTCATCACATCAGTGATTGATTGATTGAATACTTTATTAGACATAAATGCAAACAGCACAAGGTACAGTCACACATTTGGGCTAAAAGGATAACATAAAAAAGTCCTGTGGACTTGTTTCCATTGTTGGTCCACATTGGTCCTATGTGTGTGATGAGATGAGATTATCAAACTCATAACTTGTCTGCACAAGCAGCCCTCTAACAAACACAAACAGTATTATGTGAGTGAGATCAGTGAGTGGATAGTGTATGTGCATCTGCTGATGTGAAACTTGGAGGATTACCTGGCAGTTGGTTTGATGGGTCCTTATAGAGGATTTCATGCAATTCCCGGTGCTGCAGTGCTGCGGGCTTCAGAAACTTCGAGAGCAACTTGCGGATGATGAAAAAAGGAACAAACATAGTACATTATTACTAGTAGGGATCGACCGATATGGCTTTTTCAAGGCCGATACCGATACCGATTATTAGTAATCAAGGAGACCGATATTTGGAACCGATATACATTTGCAGTAAAATCAGAAAATCTTGGTGTCAAAATGTAGAATAACACAAACTCCAACACAACTCAACACAACTTCTTTGAAATGCATTTAAGCATATATTATGTTTAATTAACTTTTAAACATCTTACAACTGGTTTCCTCTCTGTGCCCTTTTCTTTAGTGCAGCCATCTGCAATGAGTTAGAGAGAGAGACAAGAAGTGGGGCTGCAGGCTGACATGCTTAACTAACAATAATGCTTAATTCATTATATCAAAACAATGCCTGTCTATCTAGCATCAAATCCCAATAAGCTGCTAGCAACTGCAAAACACTAGTGCAAGCTAATGTTTTGCAAACTATTAAAAGTGAGGCTATTACAGTAGACCTAACGTTAGTCTTGTAGCCTCACTTCTAATATTTTGCTAAACATTTGCTAGATACATGTTGGCTAGCTAATGAGCTTCACATACAGGGATGCAAACTCATCAGGTATGAAAAAGGTGACCAGGATCCGAGCCCCCCGACCCCACGGAATATCGGCTTTAAAATGAGGAATAACAGAGGATTTTAGCAGTCAGAACAACTAAAGCAGCAGTGTTAATAATAACAGAAACGCCAAAGAGTCACATCTAATAGAAATATATAAAAGCATTTATTTTAATTGTGTAGCAGTCAGTTTATAATTCTGGCAGCACTGTTGAGCATTTTGAAAATGTATTTTCATGCCTCTGCAAGGCTTAGTCTTTCTATCTTTATAGCCACTGGTGTAAAGTAACTAAGTTCATAAACTCAACAAGTACTATACGTGGGTACAATTTTGAGATACTTGTACTTTATTTAAGTATTTCAATGTTTTGCTACTTTGTTCTTCTTCTCCACTACAGTTCAGAGGTAAATGGTGTACTTTTACTCCACTACATTTATGTAATATCTTTGGCTACTTTACAGATGTGGATGAATGATGTGAAATATAATCAAGTGTTGAATCAGACTTTAGTTCCACCTGGAGTAAAGTCACAAGCTACCCTGCAGTATACAAAGTCATTCAAACTAGCTGCTCCTTTACCAGCTTTGAGAACACTTTAATGATCAATCATTATAAAACATATCATATATATTATTCTGAAATGGACCAATCTGCACAAAGACTACTTTTACTGTCGCTATACTTTCACTATATTTTGATGAGAATACTTTTCTACTTTTACTTGAGGAACATTTTGAATGCAGAACATTTACTGTAACAGAGTATTCCTACACTCTGGTAATTTTACTCAAGTACAAGACCTGAGTACTTCTACTTTTACTGTCGCTACTTTAACTATATTTTGATGATAATACTTTTGTACTTTTATTTGAGGAACATTTTGATTGCAGGATTGTTCCTACACTCTGGTACTTCTACTTTGACTCAAACCTTGAGTACTTGTACTTTTACTCAAGTACAAGATCTGAGTACTTCTACTTTTAATCAAGTACAAGATCTGAGTACTTCTACTTTTACTCAAGAACAAGATCTATATTTATACCACCTCTGTTTATAGCCTATGAAAAAAACTATTAGAAAACGAAGGCTAAAGCTAACGTTAGCAGATAGTGACAATGTATGCTAGTTAGCTAGCTCAACGATAATATTGCGACAGAAAAACTTTTCAGTGCACATCACGCTCTACCGCTCCGACAGGGAGCTCTGCTCTGAACACCTGAACGGCCCGTTCTAACAGCTGTTCACCAGCGGTCCAGTCTGTGCCAACAGTGACTCCCGACCACACAGTTAATATTAACAAACGCACCCGTAGGTAATGTAGCTGCTGAAGCTAGACCATCATCGCGGCCGCAGATTACTCCGGGTCTCAGACCCCCCCCCATACCCCAAAAACATTTTTATTGCAGATCTACATGAGTCACACACACACGACCTATTTTGGATTCAAAACGGCGAATTTCGCCGAAAGGTGACAAGTTTGCATCCCTGACTTATCAACCTGAAAAACTGCGAGGCTCCACTCGCAGACCCTCCCCCCCCCCCCACCACAGCTACTCTGCTGCGAGACGCTGCACGCACCCCCAACTCTGACTGACTTCCCGCGTCCCTGTGTAACTGGGAAACTGATAGAATTGGATCATAAGATCGTGGTGTTTTTGAAACTTCAGCATAGGGGATTGGGATGTTTATTGAACTTCGGTTTAACACATGTATGGCTCTGCCGCTCAGCGGTGCTGCTTGCTTTAGTCTGTGTCTGCGTTCTTTCGCACCTGCCTGTAATCTGAGAAGGTCCCGCCTCTCTGGCTGGCTCCCGCCCAGAAAATCTTCAGTAATAACCTATCAGATAGCGCTGTGGGCGGGACATTGCTCGTGTACACAGAGTGGTGACTGCAGCCAGAGAAACGGCCGCATCAGAGCCAAAGTTTTATCGTCAATTTGATTAAAAAAAAGGCCGATACCGATAATCGGTCAAATGCGGAATATCGGCCCCGATAACAAGCCGATTATCGGTCGACCCCTAATTACTAGCATACTGTATTACTAGCATACTGTATCCCAACCTTCCCAATTTACCTCATCATGTAGGAGGAAGATGGAGGACTTCTCTCTCTGGAGGAGGAGCTTGAAGGTGGAGAAGACTGGCAACGTTGCTTGATAGAAGAGCAGGTACACCTCTGTCATTGAGTTAGAGAATGCTTCCAACAGCCTCCTGAACCACGGTTGTTTCTCATCTGTGAATAAAAAAAATACAGGTTGTGCATACTACATACATTTACTTTTCAGTCTGTTATAATAATCATTCGTTCATTTGGATCATTGAAATATGATGCCTACCTGATGACTTGAAGTAGCTGGCCAGTGGCTCATACTGCTGCAGGGTACGAGTCAAACACCTCTCCAGACTCAACCATCGAATGGAAACGTGCATAAGTATTTCCAAATACTCGCTTCCATGGAGCTCACAGAATTCTATGACAAGAATGGAACATTTTAATTTCAATTTAATGTAACTCTTCTGAATTTCATTTGGACTGCCCATACCTGTCAGGTAACCTTTACGATTGGTGCTTCCTTTAAACCAGTATCCCACATCCACAGTCAGATCCTCTGGATCAAAAGATAGCTACATGTTACTGTTTGATTGATTGAATATTTTATTAGACAGAAATGCAAACAGCACAGGTACAGTACAGTACTGTAAATTCCCTTAGCTCATAGTAAGTATCCATTAGCTCACACAAGCAAATACGTGATGATTTAACTAACACTGCTATTAGTCACGGTTGTTTGTTGTTAAACCCACCGCAGCAACCTGCCACACTGCTCACCAGCAGCCTGTGTAACGTTAACGGAGCGTCCACACAACAGCTTCAAAAAAAGCTTGGAGCTGGGAGTGTCTGAAGCTTGGGGATTTTATTCAAGCAACGCGACCAACAACCAATCACATGAATCTCCCGCCCCCGACATACAAAGCAAAAACCCCGGGGATTTTATGGGAGCAATATATATATAAACTCCCCAAACAGGCGAAAACCTACCAGTTTCACCCACTGTCTCTGCCACCTCCCTCCATGCCTGGTTCCTCCGGTTTGTGAAGAGGGTCTGGTCATACAAAACCGGGTGATTTGCTACGGCGATAATTAGTTTCTCCTCCATCTTTTTTCGAAATACAGAAATGAACGGCGGGATATCTCTCCCAGCTTAGACGCGGTTTGATTGGCTAGGGCTTGAGCTGTCAGATTTTCCGAAACGGGATTTGATTGGCTGGCGCTGGCTACTCCGGCGTCTCTCTCCGCTATGCTACCCACAATTCAGTTCGGCGAAAAAGCGAGGCAACGTGACGTCACCCCATTCAAAGTGAATGGGCAGATTAAAGCTGTCGACGCTGTCGACGCTGTAGTGTGGACGGGCCGTAACATTAAGTCTCACGTAGTCAGACCCACCGTTGACTTCATCAAAATAAAAATATTTGTACAAATAATGTGGTTACCTACCGTTTGACCTCCCGCTTCAGATGAAAATGTCAGTCACGGCATTATTGAGGCGCTGACACAGACGTTTCACGTTTACTTTTCGATTTCTCCGCCATAGAGTTAGGTTGTTCTTCATAGGATAGAGACGCAATGACCCGCCCTAAGCTGCCTCTGATTGGTTTGTATACGTGGTGCCTTTCGTTGGGTTGGTTGGATTTAGCCTCAAGGGCTGATGATTGGTTATCACATATCTCGGTCAGCCAATCGGGGGCAGAATAGGGCGGGCTCACCCTGTCCCTGACTTGAACTACGGCAAGCCTCAAGACACGCATAAGATCAGATGCTACGACACATCCAGATTTTAGAGAGAAGACATGGAACCAAATAGATAAACTGTTGGAACAGTGGCAAACGAGAGGATTGATTCCAGCAGATGATCAACCGGCACCAAGTAATGCCCATAGAAAAGCTGTAAGTGTCTATGAGAATGGAGAATACCTGCAACAGCAACAAGCATGGATCAAAGCCGGACGACCCTCTTGGTATGGATCTGCAAAGATGGCTATGAACAAAGCTGAAAAAAGACTAACAACAGTTACAAGTCTGCTACTCCATCTGACATATACCAGCCAAGGATCGACGAACAGCATGTATGTGGTTCAAGGAGCAGAGCTCACAGCAAAGGAAGATAAGAAAGAAAAGACAGAAGAAGCTCCAATTATCCAAACTTCAAAGCTCCATCCATGCTTGACTGATGTGCCTCCTCAACCCTCAATACAAGCCCCAACTTTTGGTGTTTTAGGAGGAGTATTGGAGTTGGATGGTCTCCCCACAGCTACACGTGTCAAAGACTTGGAGTATGAGGTAAGACTCCTATCTGGTGAAGTCAACCAGCTGAAGGAGGAACTCCACAGAATAATGGAAGAACTCAAAAGAAGAGAGGAAGAAGGATCTCCAGACACAACAACAATAACTAAAGCTGGAAGACTCAAGAACTGCACAAGACACATGTTACCGGTGATAGCAGCTGGAGAAGGAGGATTGCGATCAGTGGCGTTTTCTCCTGGAGGCCAAGGGAAGCCAGGCTTCCCCTGTTTTTTCGGATTGTAGTTATAATTTTAATAAATAAATAAAAACACTTCGTTTAGTTTCGGAAATTCTTTGTTGTGTGTTGCTGCCGGCCCGTCTCTCCCCCATTCTCATTGAGTATTTTACAAAGAGTGAAACAGCGCCCCTCTAGATGTTATGGTGAAACAGTAGATTGCACTATCTGTTGCGAGAGGAGGCCAGCCGAAATTGGCTTCCCTTGGTGAAAAAAAATGGAGGGATTGACCAATCAGACAAGGCTCACGTCATGCCTCTGCCAACCTGTGATTGGTCAGGGCCATGCCAAGGGAAGCCAGAGGCGGCTGGCTTCCCTCACAATCCAATCAAATCGCATCAATTTAGTGGTGCAGTGACGCATCCTAAAACCCGGAAGTAAGCTGCGCTCGGTTTCCCTCGACAAAAAAGCAATGGGATTTCTCCATAGGATTTTGGAAAATAGCTCGAAATAAGGTCAGTGGAAAACGAACCTGTTAGATAAATGCACGTTTTGTTCGGTCGGATCATATCCACATGTCTACCCTACTTTTATAATTTTCTAATCATAAATCTAATCGATAGAAGATAGATAGCGCCACTGCACCACTCTCACCGCCGTTAGAAAGTAGCAAGCAACTGAAGCAAGTGCAATTATGGAGGGTGGAGATTTGGAGGATTTAATCAAACATAATTGTACTAAACTTCCGCTACAACAGCAACAACAAATACAATCTGATGACAGGCCAATGCCCAAACTAGAGCTGTGTACAGCGAGGAAAAAAGGAGCGAATCGGACGTAAAACGTCTCCTGATTTAGTTTGTGAATGAATGCTTATTAGAGTTTTGGCTGGAGAGTGCGTGCGGACCTGTCGGTTAGATAACAGGCGTGTGTAAGTCCTGCATCTGTACGATACAAATGTGTGTAAAATGATACCGGGTGCTGTAATCACTCATCTGGTTACGTTATTACATTGACCACCACACCCCCGACCCAAAAGAAAGGACGTATTATTTGCTTCCCCTAATTTTTTCCCCACGCCACGCTACTGATTGTGATACCAACCATGGGCACACAGGGACATGGAAACATTAGTGGCAAAGCTACCCCCACTCTCAGGGGGTGGTCAAAAGTGGGTGTGTGACCTGGAGAAGTACACTGCCCAAGACTACCTGTGTTTTGGAGATTTGAGGGCACTGCTTGGACGGATGGAAGGACGACTAGAGGCAAGAGCAGTAGATTTCCAGGCCCAGTGTACTAACTCTCCAGATTAATTCATTCAACAATATCAAGCCGAGGAGCAAAAATGATGAGATATATAGTTAGGTGACGGAGCGTTGTTCGCTCTCTTTTCCACGGCCCGGACTGCGAGAGGAAGTTGCAGCCTTTCTCTCCTCACTCTCCTGCTCGTTACATTACCGCGCCATTTCATTAAAGTACCCATTTGAACCTTTCTCAGAGACTCCATTGTCTCTTACTTTGAAAGCTTCTCTCCTGGGACGCGGGAACAAGGGACAAAAGCTAATAATACTCACACTGCAGTATGCCTTTTATTCATGTATTCTGTACCTGCTGTGTTTTTTTAATTTATTTCATTATCTTAGCTTTTTTATGCCTGTTTTGAAATGCCATTTAATAATGTGTTTATGCTGTATTTATTCTTAAATGTCTTTTGTTTTTATTTTGTAAAGCACTTTGAATTGTCGCGTGCTGAAAGGTGCTATATAAATAAAATGGCCAAAAAGTGGATTTGGCATAATAGGTGACCTTTAACCTGTAAAGACCCAAGCCTGTTTTTCAGGTTTCAGGCTCGAAAATGACATTCCCAGAACAAATGACAATAGCCCCAGCCACACGAGGACGATAACGCAAACGGACCGCAATCGTTATCAAAAAAGTCTTCCGTCCACACGCAACAGGCACCAGAAACGTGTCCGTTCACACGAGACCGCTCGAAAGCGCTGGAGACGCTGTAGTAGGGGAGACCGGGGCTAGTTCGCCCCTTTTTCACTAAAATGGCTATATTTCAGTTAATACAGAAGCAAATAGCTTCCAGATGCTTTTGTATCATAGCTCTGGGTCTTGGCTATAAGCTAGCATATTGTAATTTGTCTGAGTTCCTTGATTTCTATGAGTAATACGTTGTTGAAAAAAGAAGGTCGAAGTAGGCGAACCTGCCCCGCACCGGGGTAAGTTCGCCACCCCCTCGGGGCAAGTTCGCCGTCAATAAACCTGATTGGAACAATCTTATAATTTTACTTACTTTTAATGAATACAAATAACATTTTAATAACATTTTGAACATTTGCAGGTTGGAAATAAATGGAGAACAACAATAACAGGTTACAACAATGGAAAAACAACACAAACATGCTACATTTGAACAGTAAAAATAAGCAAAACTTTGAGGACCTCTTAACTATAGGCCTACATGTTAACATATGGATCTACTATTCTACCTGGCGTAGATAGATTCATCTGTGTCACAATGATGGCAAGTGTAACTGCTACCGGCACCCAGACAGACACACTCTTCGTGCGACCAACCTCTACAGACCTCACATTCTACCCACAGTTCATTTGGTAGGCTCTCGGACCACTTGCCCATGCACACAATGCATTCAGTGTCATCATCTGCATATTGTAAACTTCTTTTGGCTTTTTTGGCATTAACTTTCTTCTTTGGTTTCTTCGTCTTAGGCTCCCTCCTGGAAGTCTTGCCTTGGTCTTTGACTTTCTGCCCGGCTTTCTTCTTTTTTCTATTTATTTGCTCCTCACGCAGTGCCTCCTTTTCGGGTGTGTCAGTGAGAATTGCTGTCCTCCTCCGTTTCCTGCTGTTCGTTGAAGACCTGGGGGGTGCCTTAGGATGAGGTCTCAAAGTCTCTGGGGAAAACACCGGTGCAGTATCCTGACCCTGTCCTGTCATGGGGGAAGATGGTAAATCTGGGATATGTGAAGGTGGAGACCTCGATCCTGGAGTGGCGGGAGCTGGTCCTTCATCAGCATTATCAGGGCATGGCTGAGATGGTAAGCCTATTCCTTGGCTCTCTTCGGGAGGAGGAGACCTCGATCCTGGAGTAGCGGGAGCTGGTCCTTCATCAGCATTATCAGGGCATGGCTGAGATGGTAAGCCTATTCCTTGGCTCTCTTCGGGAGGAGGAGACCTCGATCCTGGAGTAGCGGGAGCTGGTCCTTCATCAGCATTATCAGGGCATGGCTGAGATGGTAAGCCTATTCCTTGGCTCTCTTCGGGAGGAGGAGACCTCGATCCTGGAGTAGCGGGAGCTGGTCCTTCATCAGCATTATCAGGGCATGGCTGAGATGGTAAGCCTATTCCTTGGCTCTCTTCGGGAGGAGGAGACCTCGATCCTGGAGTAGCGGGAGCTGGTCCTTCATCAGCATTATCAGGGCATGGCTGAGATGGTAAGCCTATTCCTTGGCTCTCTTCGGGAGGAGGAGACCTCAATCCTGGAGTAGTGGGAGCTGGTCCTTCATCATGTTCATCTGGGCATGGCAGAGGTGAGGAGGGTCTATGCGATGGACCAATGACTGCAGTATAGTGCGAAGCAACTCCATCACCTGTTAGATACAGACGTATGTTCAAATGAGACATAACTCCTGGACGTCCGGGCGTGATCATGGTCTCCCGGTAACCCACGCTACCATGCACTTTTTGATAGACGTAGGCTGTGACCCCCAGAGCATTACATATCACTGTCAGAATGATATCACTTGTATCAGTATTGTACATCTTTCTATAGACGTAGTCCTTCACTTCTTTTATGATGTTGGTGCCTGCAGATGAGAAATCTTCATAATATGTCTGGTTAATAGAGACCTCCCTGATGATTGCCTGCGAAATTGTGAGCCTTTGGTGTCTTTGGACACCCTCTGCTGCATTTATCGCAGCTACAGCTGCATATAAAAGGCAATGCCCATCACCTCTTACCTCGACAATCTCACCCGGCAATGATTCTAGGCAACCATTTGAAACTACACGGTTCACAGTCGAGCTACCAGTGGTCATTGTGTCATCATGGGCTGTGGCCAGCTGTTCAGATCTGATGATGTTTTCGGAAGGATTTGGTCGGTCAGTGACAGCAGATGGGGCAA